CCCCCCCCATACCTTGTCACGTATACAAACATAAATTCATCTGCTTTCTGTGCTGAATTCACATCTGCTGACCTCTCTGCTCTCTTCTGTTATCAACTAAAAACTACACAGGTCTTTCTAAAACTGCTTCAGGGCTTTCACCCTGAATTCAAATGTAACTTGAATTTTAAATTACTACACCAGTAATTTAAAGAGTGCCAGGGCCTGTTCTCTAGCCCTGAGGTGAGCTGGCACAGTTTAGCACTAGAGCAATAGAGCACTATTCTCTCATTACCAAAACAGGTATTCAGTCCAACCCCACAGAACAAGCTGGACCTCGGCTAAGCTCCAAGATGTATCTGGGAACTCAGAGAATTCTGGAATGTTCAAATATAAAAAGGCAAGTAATTCGATCACACTAAATTGTGAGAGCCCTTTAGAGCCATGCTCTACGTAGCCTTGGGGACAGAAGGTAAGAAAATGAGAGGCTGCAACTACAGCCTGAATCAGAAACATACCAGAGAGCATTTGTAATTATTAAACAGTATAAATGGCAGAGTTCCTACACCTCAGCTCTTTTTAATTTACTAACATGGGCCAAGGCCGGGCCATTGCTTTGAAGGGAGCACAGCTTTGTGCTGCTTGGGGCTTACTTCTTGCCTCAGGCACTGAAGTTGGCAGCAGAGCAAGTAGCTTGTTTAATGCACACCTGCCCTGCTGTCAGAAAAGGTAACACCCAAAAGACCTTTAAAACTTTAACAGGGCACAGGTTTAAGCTCTGCCAGGGAAGGTTTAGGTTGGATATTAGAAAGAAGTTCTTTACAGAGAGAGTGATCAGGCATTGGAATGGCCTACCCAGAGATGTGGTGGACTCACCGTCCCTGGAGGTTTTTAAGATGAGGCTGGATGTGGTACTGAGTGCCATGGTCTAGTAATCACAGTGGGGTTGAATCAAGGGTTGGACTTGATGATCTCGAAGGTCTCTTCCAACCCAGTTAATTCTATGAATTCATTGGTGTTAGTAAAGTTGTGTTAAATTTGCCTGCAAAAGCTTGAACAGCTTCGTTGGCAATTGCTACCTGCTGACCTTCTGGCTCCTCCAGCAGGTAGCTGAGCAAGACCAGTTAAAGGCCAGTGCTATTAACTGTAAGAAATGAGCTATACTGACTTGCAACAGAGTCCCAGGAGAATCAGCAACATTCTTTTAAGCCCCAAATGCCGTACTTGTGAATCTCTAGATTCCTGAATGCAACCAGTGACTAAGTTTTAGCAGCTGGGGCCTTCATCTGCAGTACGAAGCCTGTCCTCTAACCTCACATGTAAAATGCTTTTCCTGAGGTCTCCATCTTTAGTTCCAACCACTACCTCCTCTGGCTTTGGGAAAAGACATTTAATTTGAAGTGGTTGCTTGCCACTTTGACTATAATATCCTTTTTTTTTTTTTCCACTCATCTCCACTTTGTATTCTTTTCTGTATTCATTGCTGTGAATATAGACTACTTCACTTTTGAATACCTTTATCACACATAACCCGTTTCAATACTAAGAGACCTCGTCACAAATTCAAATCTTGACTGACTCTGCAAAGAAGTGGAGCCTCTTCCTCCTGAACTAAACTGTCAAATAAACATGATGTTTCTCTGATCTACACCTTGTACTGGGGAACTAAAACTTGTAAACACTTGCAAAGTTATCCCAGTGGCATCCCTGAAATAGTTTTAAAAGGGAATTTTCTCCTTAAAAGAAAGCAGGTGAAAGATTATCAGAAAAGCAGTAAAAACCCACACTAACATGGCAGATACATCTCCTTTACATGCCCATGGTCAACAGACATATTCATTTATTATTGTAAATTTCTAGCTTTTCATGGGGTTCCACCTTGTGCAGTAGGACCTGGGTATCAGACAGAAGTTACTAGAACATAAGAAATCCATTCACATGAGGTTGTCTCACGGAACAAGACCCAACTACACGTCTCACAATTAAATGCAGTATTACTAATGCTTAAAACTGCTGTATGAAGGACAATCACAGGGGATTCTACAAATTTCAAGTTCAGAATCCTAACTAACCCAACTTGTGTATCCCGGTGGTCACAATGGACTTCCCATCCCATCTGCAAGAGACAGTTTATGCCATATTTACAATGGACTGAAGAGTCTGCCACAACAAACCTGTATTTTTTTCATTTTCAAATTTACCTTTTGCCCTTTCTATACTTTATGATCATTATTTTATTTTTTTGTGTACATAACTTTCTTCCCTGCTGCTTTTCAGGGTTCGTAGGGTTTCATGTGGGCTTTTGGTTGGTTGGTTGGTTTGTTTGCTTTTCCTGAAAAATCCTGCCTATTCCTCTTTACTCCTCTCCTTGGTTCTTTGCATTCCACTTTATCCTGCTAATTTCTCCCATGATACGGTCCTCCTGCAATAGTATAGATAAGTTAACAGTGTTAGTAGCACAACTGTACTGAGTGTCCAGCAGAGCTGGACATTCTCACTGCTCACACTACCTTATGTGGTAGCCTCCTGTACCATTAGTATTCAGATGGTTATTATTATTCAACTGTTTATAAAGGAGCTGTGTTATGATAAAGAGGACAAAATTCCAGTCCAAAAGGGCATTGTGTGAGGTAGCTCTGCATGTTGTTTTGACTTAGAAGCAGGAGGGCTTCGACCTGTGTACAATTTCCTCATAGCATACATGTGCAGGAGTGCTCTGAATAATTTCAATTAACATTTGACAGAAAACTATTGAAAGCTACATCATTGCAGAGAAAGGGAGGGAAGAATATAAGAGAGACTAACACATTCCTTTACCTAAAGGAAGATCTCTCCTTACCTTGAGTGGGCTCTGCCTGGACAGTGAGCTGCTCCTGACTTGCAGATTCTCCAGCACCTGCTGAAGTTACTTTACTTTCTTCTGTCCTCTCCTCACTGGCCTTTCCAGCCTCTTTTTCTGGTCTTTTCTTCTCACCCTCTGGCTTGACCTCTTTTTTGACTGGTCGGATGTTGCCAGGAGAAGGAGGACGTGTCTGAGCAGAGGAAATTTTGGAGGAACCAGGTGGGGAAGTAATCTGCTTGGGTGTGCCAGGCAAAAAAGGCAAAGATTTTGACGCACGCCTGT